TAATGCGAAGTGTAAACTCAAAACATAGAGGAATCATGTTTTGAGATTAATGACTTTAGGATTCAACCTTGAGGAATCTTGTTGGATTACTAAATGAACGTGAAAATAATGAAATTAGAATCGCATTTATTTTAAGAGGATCTACGAGTTAACAAGTACTTCTGAACCAATCCTTGTTTCTTAACCATAGTTTTTACTATTTTCATTTTATTGTGTTGTTATACTCTGTCTTTACACATTTGCAATTATAACAACATTCTCATTTAAATCATTAGAGCAAGAATTACTAAACACTCAAATCCTTGAGGACAATATTTGAATACTACTTCGAAACTTGGTCCGCTTGCCAAGTGGAGAGATTGCAAAAATCTTCATCAACTGTAGGTAGTTGAACAAATTGACCATTAAGAACAAGTATTCACAACCTTGTACTTATGATTTAATGGATCAATTGAGGGGAGTTTTATTTTCTAAAAAATTGACTTGAGGTGGAGTTACCACCAAATTCAAGTAAAGGACAATGATTTACTTGAGACTGTCTTTAGGACTAGGTATGACCATTACGAGTACATAATGTCATTTAGAGTGACCAACGCCCCCATTGTTTTCATGGAGTATATGAATCAAAATTTTAGACTCTTTTTTATATGTTTGTTGTTGTGCTCAATGATGATATCCTTATCTACTCAAGATCTAAAGAGGAACATAATGAGCATTTGAGGCTAGTGTTAGAGATTTTGAGCAACAAATAGTTGTTTGCCAAACTCTCGAAGTGTGAATTTTGGTTGGAGGAGGTGAAGTTTCTTGGGTGTGTAATTTTGGCTAAAGGGATTACGATGGATTTAATAAAGGTGACGTTAGTTTTGTAATGGGAGAGTTTAAGGACAGTTATGAACATTAAAAGTTTTGTTGGGTTGATAGGTTACTATGGGAGATTCATAAAGGGTTTCTCCAAAATAGTAGCGTCTCTGACTCAATTAACTATAAAGGATCAACCTTTCATTTAGATAAACATCTATGAGGAAAGACTTACAAAGTCGAATAAGAGGTTGACTGCTTCTCCTGTATTGGTGTTACTTGATCCTAATGAGTCTTTTGAGGTGTATTATGATGCTTTTCATCAGGGTATGAGTTATGTTTTGATGCAAAACATGAGAAATGTGACATATGTTTTAAGGTAATTGAAGGTGATGAGAAGAACTATCTTACTCATGATTTGGAGTTGATGGTGGTGATATTTGCTTTGAAAATATAGAGGCATTATCTGTATGGGACAATGTTCAGTATCTTTAGTGATCATAAGAGTTTAAAGTACATATTTTATTAAAAAATAAACGATGAACATGAGACATGGGAGATGGATAAAGTTCTAAAAGATTATGATTTTCAACTGATGTATGATCCCAAGAATGTCAATGTAGTGAGGGATGTTTTTAGTTGAAAATTCATCCACATGTCTGCATTGGTGGTTAAGGAGTTGAAATTAGTGGAGAAGTTAGGGGTGGGCAAAAAAAACTGAATTGGACTGAACTAGTGGTGAACTGAACTGAACTGTACTATAAAAAATTGATCTATTTGTAAAATAACTGAACTGAACTCTTTAAAAAAAACTGAACTGAACTACACTGTTAGAAAGTTAACTATACTGAACTATAAAACTGAACTGAATTATAAAAATTGAACTATTTTTATAAAAGGATAAAAATTAAATGTGTCTAACATGTTATGTCTTAATGGATTAACTCGATAGTCTAATAACCAAAACTTAAAAAAAAAGTGATAAAAACAAATTATATCAATTTTGTCGAACCTAATGGATCAATTGAGCTATGTTAGACTACTTATTTTTAGGCTTAAAATTCACTTAGTTTGTTTAACTTAATTTTATATTTTTTTTCTTTGAAAAATTTAAATAAAATGGAAAATAAAGTAAAGTTGGCAAATGTGTCTTATTTTGATAAATTAATGAGTCAAAATTGTTCAATTCAAAATATCCTAACAGTTCAGTGCAGTTTAAATTGCAGTTCAGTTCAAGTTTTTATAGTATAGTTAAGTTCAGTTCAATAATACAAAAAAATAGTTCAGTTCAGTTCGTCTGAACTAATATTTAGTTTAGCTTAGTTCATGAGAATTACTTTTAAGTTCAATATAATTTTTATAAGTTCAATTCAGTTTAGTTCATTTTGTCCGCCCCTAGGAGAAGTTTAGAGATTTGAATATCAAGGTGGTGTTGACTCAAGATCACATTAGTTATGGAATAACTACCATAGTTAATGAGTTCTTGAAACATGTATGGGTGAAGTAGTTGCGAAATCTCAAGTTGTTGAGGATCTTATGTTTATTGGGCACAAAGAAGGTGATTGGTTTTGAGTTAGACGATGATAAGATGTTGAGGTTTAAGGGCAAAAATTGTCTATCTTAAGATTGAGTTGAGGTCCTTAAGGAAAATAGTCTTAGAGGAGGGCCACAAGAGTTGGCTTAACACACATCTCAATATGACTAAGATATATTATGACATTAAAAATAAATTTTAGTGATCTAATCTAAAAAAAAAGGTGACGAAATATGTTGCAACTTGTCTAACTTGTTAGAAAGCTAAAGTTGAGTACAAAAAATTCAAGACTTCAAAATTAAATTAATAAATAAAATTAATTTCTTTACTTTATAATAAAAGAAAAAAAAAAGAGCGTGGCTGCTATAACAAATAAAAGATTAAAATATATTAAAAATTTTATACATGAAAAAAACAAATCACCTTTATTTATTATTATGGATATAAGTAATAGTTATTTAAAAAAATAAAACATAGACAATAATATTACTATATACAATAACAATCATATACAAATCAACGATATATAATGTTAATACACATGTATCCTAAATATATATATATATATTTATCACAATTGTATTATATATATATATATATTAAATGTATTTTTTTTATCAAACTAATATTTTATTTTATATTAAACATTATTTTTATTTATGCACTTCAACTATTAATCCACAAATTTGATCATTGACTTGTTGAACTAGTATGTCAATTTAGTTGATAATATGATAACATTGAGTAGAACACAAGTCCCTTCAATTTACGAGAAATGATGTACCACAACACCAGTGTGACTTTGCAAGGGGTATACTCCCCCTTGTGAGTGCTAATAGTTTTTGACAGAGATTAATCATTATTTTTCGATTATCCATGATTATCGAAAATATGACAAAACCATTATATAATAATAATAATATCATCATATTCATATAAATTAAATAGTGTCTCATTGATTTAATTATGACCCAATGTTTTAACTAAGTTTATCACCGGTCTAATTTTGATAAAATGTTTGAAAATGATTTGGTGAAAAATATGTATAAAAAGCATTTATGAAAAATTATATTCCTTAAAAATATTTTTTTTTAGATAATACACCAAACATAAAAAAAATAAGATTTCCAATTTCCAATTTATGAAAAAACAAAAAAAAAATCCCACGTATCCAGTGACGGATCTATAAATTTTAGATAGTGGGGGCAATATTTATTTATATATTTATATTATTAAAAATTTTATATATAACTTTTAAAAGTATAAATATATATTATAATTATTTTTTTAAAAAAATTATATCAACTATTATGAAATAAATTAGGTCTGACTATGTTATATTATAATTTAGTAGGTTTGAACTTAACTTTTTTTTTAAATGTGTCATAAATATGACTTATTTATCTATCATAGACATTTTTTAAATGTTTGGTTAGAATTACAATCCTAAAAATATAATTTATAATAATTTAATACTAATAAAAACATAATAAACATGTTAAATTGTATAAAAATCAAGTATAATTTATTTATGATATAAACATATTTTTATATCTAATATAATTTTTTGGATGATAATTTATTTCAAAATATATTTTATAATAAAATTTTTAAATAGAATATAAATCTTCCAATATTTCCTATTTTAAATTTTTTAATCAATGTATATAATTTTTATTATTTTGATTTTTTAATCAATGTATGCATAAATAGAAAGTATAAAAGGTAAAGCATATATGTTGCAAATTTTATTTTTATCAAAAATTAAAAAAAAAATTTTAAAAATTAATTCGTTATTAATGAGTATTTTTTGTCACATATGAGAATCGATCTCTTTTAAAAGTTTGATAAATATCAATTAAATGAACAACTATTTTAAATTTATATTATATATATATGATAATTTAAATATATTTATATATATATTTATTTTATTAAAATATAATATTTATTTTTAAAAATATATTATTATTTTATAAAAAAATATATGTGTATAAAATGATAGTGGGGCAAGTGCCCCCACCCTCTTACACATAGATCTGTCGCTGCACGCACCCTACATGTGTTAACGTGAACACAATTTTACGTATTTTTTTAATTATATTTATAATATTTTTATTTGAAACTCAATTGCGTTTTATAATTTTATATAAATATTTTTTTCAACTTTGTATTAATAAAAAATAATTTAAAATCATATCTCAAAATAAAAGACAAATATTACTTTTAAAAAGACCATATTCATCCAATTTAAAAAGTAAATTATCAAAATAAAAACTTTAAGGAAAAAAAGTGTCCTATTTCTAGAAAAACCAAACCTACTTAAATTATTCTAAAGATGTTAACCAACTAACAGAATGAGTTAAATATAAAAATTAAGTTAAAAAATAAAAAATATAATTTAAAATATTCATTACAAATTAATTAATAAATAATATTTATTCATTATATATTTTAATTATAATATAGTTTATATATTTAATGATATAATTGATTATAATTTTTAATGGTATATAAATATAATTATTATTTTTTATAATTATATTATTGATATAAAATATTTATTAATTTTATTGATAAATAATTTATGTTGAAAAATAAAACATGTTGACTATAAGAGTGCGATGAGAAGAAGAAAATGAAAAAAATTGGGTAAAAAATAAAAAGATCTAAAAATCCCGCCTCGTTCAGCCTCTGTTTTGAAACCCTCACCCAACCACGCTCTCTCCCTTTTCCCGCCTCTCTCTCCCTCTCCCTCTCCTTAAAATCCCTAATCCTCCTTCATCCCTCCATTACCATTCACCATTCACCACTCTCCACTCACCACCACAACCTCTCTCTCTCTCTTCCGCCATGAACCGCAGAGCCAGACCAACCATCCCTCACCACTTCCACAAGTACCTCAAACCCGGCGCTCTCGCCCGCATCCGTGACTCTCGCATCAGCGCCAGATCTCACCGCCTCAACGCTCACAAGATCCCGCTCCACCGCGCTCCCTCGACGCCGCCCGCCGCCGATCAGCCTCAGGTCACCGCCACCGCCGCCGACGTCGGCTATCCTTTCTTCGCCCCGAGGATCTACGGCCCGCGCTGTCCGCAGCACAAGAAACTCATGGCCGCCAAGTCCGTCTTCTTCGTCCCGGTCAGTCCCGCCGCGGACTCGCCCGATCTGGTCATCGACGCTTTAGGCGCAGATCTTCTCCTCGCCAATTGAATTTTCATGAAAAGAAAACTGTGCGATTCTTCTCTTGTAGGACGTAGAGCGGTTTAGATGTGCAGATGCAGCACTCTTGTTTAATTCTGTGAAGAAAAAAAAACTCAGATAGGTCTGAAATTAATAAAGCGAAATCAATTTTCCTATTGCATATGTGTTTCCGCTGTTTTAGTTATGTTTCTGTTTGCGTTACTAATTTGCCTATTATGACGGCTTCATAGCTATCTCCAATTTCGGTATGTTTTACACTTTCGCGAGTTGCGTTGATCTTCCTATAAGATGCGATGATCCGCGTATTTGCTTTGTTCTGACATTAATATCTGTCTGATTAATTTGTTTGCGACTTATGGTGCAGTTTTGACCTTGCTAGAGCGTTTATTGATCTTTTTATTTCACGATTCGTGTATGTGTTCTGTACTATGGTAAGTTAATGCCTACTTTACTGTTCTGTACTTCTGTTTCAATTAGCAGTTACTGTGTCTCAATGTGTTTATTATTCTGTTTTAAAAGCATTACTATCATAAATCAATACGTCGTGTTAGTGATTACTTACGTTATGTTTTTTTTTGTTACTACTTAGGTTATGTTTGAAGATAAGAATGTAAGATGGATTGAATTTTTTGAACAAATTAAAATTAGTTTATGTAATTAATTTTTATAGAAGTTTTTTTTTTTGTTTTTTTTTTTTGACATAGTCTATGGAGAAGTTCAATGTATTTCTTTTTTTCTATTTTCTATACACATTATGGAAAAGTTTAAACAAGCATAATCATATTTGTGCTTCTAGTAATGCTTTTCCTTGTTATGGTGGCAAAATGTGATGCATGACTTTGGTGTTTTTGTCCTTCCATTTAACGCTATACTTGGAATGTTTGGGTTAGGGGTCTAATATATACTGTTTTTGTTATTCCGTTCAGTCTTTGTTAGATACTTTTTATGCATGTTGTTACCTGGTGTATGCATTTATTTCTGTTAGTTAAATTAGTGAAGAAATAATCTGTTCGTGGAGATTTCTACATGACTGCTTGATACTTAGAGCTTGTCCTGGCTGTGTGCATTTTGCCAACTTGGCAAGCTTTTGGATAAATTGTTAAATTGAGAAGTATTGTTGTCTTATTTACCGATACATATCGAAGATGCTCTGGGTGTCATTCACTGCTTTTCACTCATGAAATGAATATGTTCAGTTAGTTTTGCATTCTGGTAGTTTTAGTTAAACATGGATGGTCCAAGTAAGAGGCAATTGCTTATAGCCAGACTAAGCATCTCAGGAATTGCTTGTAGTTTGAAATAGACGAGTAACTTCACATGGATAATTTGGGCAATCTAAAGTTAGTGTTTGTGTAACAGGTTAAACTGTTTTCTGATGCCTCTGATCTGTTGCTGCAGCATAGCATCATAGGGATGCATCGATCTTCATCCGTGCACATATTTTTCAGTATACTAGAGCGTGTAGATTATGGTAGGTTTGTGATAGTTAATTGCGATGAATTTGTATTCTGTTCTTAGAAATGTAGTAAATACTAGAAATTGCTACTTGCTAGATCCAAGTGATGCCATAGTACCCATTAAGAGAGATGACTGGTTTGGGATATGTAGTATAGAATATAGATGGTAAATCATGCATGATTACCTCCTATTCCATATTTATTGATGGATTTTTTTTAACCTTTTTCTTAAATTTCTGATGGTTACCTTATAAGTATGAAGTTAGATTATTTGTCTTCACTTGTATTTTTATTTGACAATTATCGTAGTAGTAATTTATCACGAGTAATATAGTATTAAATAGAAGTATTTCAATAGTGTTTTACATAACATTAAATGCCAATTTAATAGCTATGTATCGTTGGCATAAGTTTTTTTCACTATTTATTTAATTAAAACTAGTTAACAAAATTGTCATATATAGTGGTTTGTGATTGAATTCTTATGCAAAAGATTTTTATTCATTGGTACAACATGTATTATTTATTCTATGTTATTTAGTCTGTGTACATTAACTTAAGAGGAATGGTTGCAACACTCTTTCAACATCATATAAAAAAGTGATATCATACTATAAAAAATGTTAAAAACAAATATGAAATTTTAAAAATTAAGTTTCGGGATTAACTTGTCTGAACTCATCATCTACTTGTTTTTCGGTGGGTTAGGTGGGTGTTGAGCTCAAAACATGAACGTATCCCATCTTGATAAGGTGTGTTAGTGGATTGACTTATTGGATTTAATTTATATTGGAAAAATTGGTGCGATACATGGGAATTGACGATTTGCAAATTAATGAAGAGGGAAGTTCAAAATGGATAACTCTCACATATTGCTCAATGTTCATATTTTTTGTATTAATAATATTTATTAATTTAATTTGTGCAATCAATAAAAAAAATTAAAATAATAAATATTTGTCATGTCATTTTATTAATGATGTGTCATAGGTCAACATTAACGTTTAATCGTCAATGAATGTTAAAGTTGACAGAAAAATTAAAATTTTATAATTTTAAAATAAAGATTAAATAAAAAAAATCAAAATTATATATTGACAAAAAAGTAAGATGATTGTAAGTACAATTTAACTTACATTTTTTTTTTCAAAATTTTAAAATATGTAGTTTATGACAATTAATTATAATTAATTTGTATTTTATTAAAGATAAATGTGATAAGAAAAATGTTTTCTAGCATGATTAAGTCATTGATTAAAGAATTAAAAATATTTTTTATTGAAAAGTTTAATAATATACTTTTTTATATATCTTTAATATGATTTTTAATAAAACTTTTTAAAATTTGATTTTTTAATGGTATTCTAAAGATACTAGTTAGTCAAACCCATGTAGTAAGTTCTATCATTTCTGTTTTCCTAATTAGTCATCTCTTTCATCTTTTTAAGCATGAAATTGTGATTATAGATACTATTTTATCTTTACATAACTATTCATAATAAATTATATATCCTTATAAGAAAAGAAAAAAAAAACTCATGTAGGAAATATTAAGAATTGTTGGATGCAAGTATGCGATATTGATGCAGAAAGAGATGACTGATTAGGCCTTAGGGAGATGTGTAGAATATAGATCGGTGCATTATTACCTTTTTCCCCGTCATATTTATTGATGTTTTTATTTTTATTTTTAGTTACTAATGTTTAACAAATCTAAAGTTTCATTATTTTTTTCCCACTTGTATCTATATTTACCAATTGTTATAATAATAATAATTTATTATAAGTACCTATCGAAATTTATCATTAGTAAATTAGTAATACGATATTATTAAATAATACTCCTTTCACTTTAAATCTTTAGTCTTTTAAGTGTTTTACATTAAAATTAAGTTATAACTTTTTTTAGGAATCTAAAGATAAATGTTTGTATTCTATATTTGATTTATATTTAAAAATAATATTTTTTAAAATTATTTTCTAAAAAATATTTTTTCACATAAAATTCCTATAAAATTGTTCTCACGAAAAGAAGTGAAAATTTAACATTTATGGATTTTAAAAAATATTGTAAAAAAATATAACGTTATCTTTATTTATATATTAAATGAAGTAAGTATTTTAATTCTCAAGTAATATATATATATATATA